CTCTTTTGTTCTGGCCTTTTTGGCAGTCTGTTTTGACTGGCCTGTTGTATCATCCCTTGTGACAGACCTGCAGGGAAAGAAGTGGGTTGATGAGCCATGGCAAACTCAGACTTTTAGAAAGGTCATTTTAACCCAGCGTACTGAATGTAAAGGCTACTTATGTTCTCATGACTCATTCTGCAGTTTGTGAAGCTGACAGTGGTGGAGTGGGGCAGCTCAAGCAGAACCCACCTGTGCTTCTCCAGGTACTGGTTGTGGATTACGTACCTGTTCTTGTCACAGCCTTCCTGCTTGACCGTGGGCAGGCCTCTTGAGATTCAGTCCCACACCATGGAGGTCTAGTGGCAAAAGTCCAGATGGCCAAAGCAGGAGCAGGACTGAATCTTCATCCTTGGATCTCTCTGCTTATTCTGTTCTGCGTGTTGCAAGGTCCACTGTTAAAAATGCTGCTGTCTCTTGTGAAGGAGTATCTGTCAGTGCAAATAGTTAGTGTTTGAAGCCCTTATTTATTTATTGGGCTTCAGAGTCAGTGGGTGGCACTCTTTGTTTTCAAGGGAGGAGGCTGGCTTCATGCTATTCTAACTTATGCTTATGTGCTATACCAGATTATAATGAGAACATTTGGGTTAGGAAAGCTGCTTTGTTTCTGTGCAACTACTTTGTCTTGAAAAAATCCTTATTCCAAACCCTTCTACTGGAGTAACTCTTGCCACATCCTTTATATGTGTAATCTGAGAGATAAAGAATGATCAGAAGTGCCCCTTTGTGTTCATACCCCTCTCTGTGTTGTACCTGACTCATCTCATTCAGATTTAAGATGGTATGTGCATCTATATGTGTATATATATATATATATATATATATATATATATATATGCACGCTTGTGCTTGTCAGTAAGTAAATTTGGGCGTTCCAGTGTGAAACTAGTTTCTCCACTGTAACATAAACAGAAAACATGTATACGTTTTAAAGCTTGAAGTCCATCAATGGACACTAGTTTATTCTGAGAACTTCATGTAAATTAAGTGTCTTACATGTGTAGCACAATGCAAGCTGAATGTATCGACTTGATGCAGTACTGCAGACAGTGGAGTAAGCAATGTGATCTAATGACAAGATTGGGTTGCAATTATAAGACAGTTGCAAGGTGTAAGGGGAAACAGGCTGCAATTATAAGACAGTTGCAAGGTGTAAGGGGAAGCCTTAATCCCTTTCTTAATTGCATTCTGAGACTGAATTATGGCTTACATTATCCCTTGCACAACCTTATTGAAACCAGTTCTTAAAGGGTACGCTTTAATGAGGAGCAACTCTTTTTATTGACGTCATCATCTCTGTTCTGAGGATTGTCTTCCTTGTCCTTCCGTGTTCTCATACTAGCAAGTGATGCACTTAAAGAGCAGATCAAACTGAAGTGTGGGAGATAGTCAAGCTAATAAAACACTGTGAGATATCTCTGCAGGTTTTTTGTTGCTATAGCACGGAAATGCTGATGTTTTATAGACAGAGTGTATAACAAGAACAGGAAATGACAGTGCAGTTTGTTTTCTAGAAGAATACAATGAGAACAGAGGTAGCTGCAGCTACCTTAATTAGATTTTTTTCAATTAAACATTTTTAGCAAGGATGAGAAGTTCTGCTAATTGAATCTGTTCTAATTTCCATCCCCCTGCTTGTCATGTTTTGCTCTTCAGTTTGGGAAATATCTCAAGAAACAGCTCTTGTTGTTCTCTGCTGATTACAGTGTGTGGTGACAGATGGCAGGCAACATGCTGATGTGCAGAGTAGCTACATGTAAGCCATAGGAACTCCCACCTGTCTTCATTATAATGAAACTAAACTGGATCCAGTCCAGTGACTTAGGGCTGCCTTGACTTCCTCCTCTACTACCAGTCTCATCCACTTTAATACAAGAAGAAGTTTGTTGTGCATTAGTAATGCCCACAAATATTTAAATACTGTTGCAGTGAACTGTAGAAAGTCTAAAAGAAATATGGTATTTAGACCTGCACCTCTTCAGGACAGAGCAACTGCTAATTTTTAGCATTTCTGCAGTTGGTACTATACACTACTGAGATTTCTTTTGGTGTGTTTCTGGCTCTTTGAATACCACTTAATGCATTTAATGTTTTGGCACCTGTCAATCTACTAATTTCAAATGTGAGTTTGCCCAGAGGTTGATATTGAGGAATTTTCAAGTAGACTTGAATGTGCTTTGTGTTGGAGATGACTTCCTGGTTTAGAGACATGCCATAGCAGTACTTCTCACAATTTACCTGCATGCTACCTGTATTCCCAAGTCTGGGCAAAGCAGACAATAGATGCGTTGGTGATACTCAGTTCTGTACTGGCTGAAGGTTTGCTGTCTGAACCCTGGATCAGATGTTTTGAAGTTTCTGTGTATCACAGTGACTGAACTCTTGAGGAGATGTTTCCCACACGTGAGATAGTTTTAGCTGTTTTAGATGTGAAACTTATGGTTTTTTAAATGGTCTTTCTAGCTAAAGTGATTCAAGAATGATTCAAGAAAGGATTTTGTGAGAAAATTGGTCTTTGTGCTTACCCATTTCTCAGAGTGTTCTGAGTGAAGCAAATTGACTACCTTTTTGTTGTAAACCTCTTTTGAGATGCACAGGGAGTCTACTCAAGAGTTCTTTAGAAATCTGTGCCATTCAGGATTATCTTAAAAGCTGCTTTTGGTGTTATGCCAGATGGTCTTTTACTAGTTCCCATAACTGGGAAGAACTTACAAACACAGAAAGACTGCAGATTTGTCTCGAGATCTTTGCCAAGTACAGAAGCTTACTAGATTGCTTAACTGAGCCGTGCCTGTGACTCTAGTCTTTAATTGGTTGTTAAAGAGGGGGGAGCTGCGTTTCAAGGAGCCTACAGCAGTTCTGTGCTCCTTAAGGGTAGCCTTAGTGTCCCTTTTGGGGCAAGGTGGAGGAAAAGAAAGGAATACTAACTGGATCCACACAATAAAGTTGATTTTCAGAGTGGGTTTTCAGTCTCTGTTGTAAACAGGATCTGCTGGAGGAGTTTCAAGCTGAGTTCCCCAAAGCTGAAATAGCCAGTGTTTGGTAACCCCATCTTTATTTAATCAAAACAAAACAAAAAGGCAAGTTCAGATTGTAGACTGCCAGTTTTGTAGGGAGATTAATAGGTTTTGGGCAGACAATGGTAAGGTATGATTTTTAGGTAGCTTTGGCAATTGTCTGAAATTGCAGCAATTACTGCTCTAACCTGGAACTTCTTAGTTAGTTATGACGGGAGAACTTACAAAAGAAGCAGATTATACACTGTGGCATAGTGTGTTTTAATTTATCAGAATTTGTTCCTTAAGAATTGTAAGGGAGTTGATCAATTTTAATTTTATATACTTTTTGACAGATAACTCAACATTTGGTCAACTGAAACTAAGTGAATTCAGGTCAAAGGCAGCTCACAGGAAAGAAGAGTAAATGAAGGAGAACACTTCATTTTGGTGTTCAGATCAGAGACCAAACATTCTGACTCTGTTTTGAGAATACCAGGGTGGGTGAATTTGAATACATTGAGATTTTAAAACAGAAGCATGCTCCAGATGGTCAGGACTGTTTAGTTTGCATTTAGGCAAGAAAACAGGCAACTAGATATCTTCTTTTCCTTCTTGCCTACTATACACTTGTCTCTAAGAGTGGAAAATTCATGCAGGTGATTCCAAAGGGGGTCTTTGTGGTATGATGCTGACATTTGAAGAGCTAAGACTCTCAAGGGCTGGCACAGGATGGTTTGCCATATGCAAACCTTGTTATACAAGTGCAAAACTAGACTCTGTGGGTACAGATAAGTGCCTTTATGATATGTGACCTAATGAAGTGTTGCAGACCTTCAGGGAGACTGCAGTCAGACATGGGCTAAGTATCTCTTATTGGGAATGTATTTCCTGCCAGTGAGCAAGATTAGCTTGAAAGGGCTTATGGTTGCTAAGTGTTCTCCAGATGCTGCAAATCCTCTCTGATGTAGAACAAGGAATAAAGAGAGAAGTCGCAGCAATCACAGCTCCAGGCAATATTGGTTTGCTCTCCAAACAAGAAAAATCCAGTGTCTGAGTACTGAGTCAAAAGCATCTAAACTACTGCCTGGGTCACTGGTTTATTTTAACATGCAAAAGTTTGTGTTATTCTATAATCAGGGTACAGCTTAATCATAGTTCTCATACATGCTATTTCACGTGTAGGCATTTCATCAATCACCAAGGTTGGAAAAGACCTCTAAGATCATCCAGTCCAACCATCCACTTATCACCAATATCTCTCACTAAACCATGTTCCTCAGTACAACATCTAAGTATTTCTTGAGCACCTCCAGGGATGGTGACACCACCACCTCCCTTGGCAGCCCATTCCAGTGTCTGACCACAGTCTTGGAGAAGTAGTATTTCCTAATGTCCAACCTGAATCCCCCATTATTTATTTTTTTTCCTCCATTTGCTTGTGTCTACACTGGTTATGGTTGTGGGCTGCTAATATGGCAGGACACGCTGTACTGTGAAGGAGGCCTTAGACCAAAGCTTCACAAATAAGAAGTTGGGTCTGAAACAACTTTTCTGGCAGTCTAAATATGAAATAGAAGTCAAGTGACTGAAGTATTTATGCTTATAATGCTGAGATGAAGAGTCAGTAGTGATCTGTGAATCTTCTTTTTGTGCTTTGCACATTCATTTATGCACACAGAAGGCTAACAATTGAGAAGTATTTTGTGGAATATCACTTTAAAAAGTCATTCTTACAAGTACATGAGGACATATGCTAGCTTTCTTTAGAGGGGAAAAGTGCCTCATGGAGTTGTTGTGAAGCTCTCCTTGTATGCAACTACTATCTTATGGACAGTGATACAGACCTTCTGGAGCATTGTTGTTTTTTTGTTTTGTTGTTTGTTTTTTGGTTTTTTTTTTTTATACTATTTTTAATTCCATTGTTCCCATTCACATTTATTTGCTTATTTATTCTTACTTCAGGGAGAAGTGTCTCCTTCCTCTCCAACTGGCTCTGGAATCGAAGAGCATGAAGTTGGCCCAGCAGGCTCTTGCAGGGATGCAGGTATGGCTTAAGAGTGGGGTGTTAAGTAGGTAGTGGGCATCAAGGAAATTTAGGCTTTTCTTTTGGAAAAATGCTACAGAAGATGTGTCTGTCTTCTGGTGGATGTAACAATGATGTTCATTTTTCTGTAACATTATTCAGAATTTAGAGTGCAATTGAAGGCTGCTGATTCTGTAGAGGCTTGAAATGTTCTGCACATAGGTGGGAGTTCCTGACTTTCAGCATGAGATGGAGATGTAGTCTTCCTCACGTGGCTCTGTGCCCTCTGCATGGTCCTCAGGAAGCCTTACCTTACAGCTGCTTAGTTTCTTAGAAACTAGAGTGAAGTGATGAAGAAGTTAATAAAAGATCCCGAAGCTATTTGCAGGGTTTTTTTCACATGTTTTTTTCAATATCACTGGATGTGAATGTTTTTGAAATTGCAGACGAAAACAACAGCAAAGCATGAGAAACAAAAAGGCACTATAGCATTTGGCAGTATAAAATTAAAACAGTTTACCTTTCTTTTAATTGGACAAATAGCTATGCATCAGTAAATTCTTACCACTTGAGAGAGATTAGCTGTGGAAGAAACTGGTACACTGCTGAATTGTGAAATGCCTGCTACTGTTTTTCAATAAGAAGCTTCTCTCTCGAAGAGTAAGCATAGATTTGTTTGGGGAGTGTAAGGATGTAAGTTCAAATTCACTTAACTCTGCATATAAGATATCAGGCATACTGTTAGAGGAAGTGATCCATATGGAGGCACAACATTGTGGTGTGAGGCTTTATCTAGGAAAAAAAAAATGTATTTTCTTTAAAGTTATTCTAATTGAGTTTTGCCTTAAGAGTACTTGGAAAGATAAATGCCATAGTTTTTTCCTCTGCTCCTTTTCTCCTTCTTTCCCCTCAGCTTTTCCTGCATAGCACAACACCATATGGTAGGGAATATTGCTTTGGTCAGCTGTGATCAATTGTATCAGCTGTGTTCCCTCCTAACTTCTTCTGCACTCCTAGCCTACCCGCTGGCAGGGCAGTATGAGAAACAGAAAAGACCTTGATGCTGTTCAAGCACCGTTCATTAATTGCTAAAACATTGGTTTACATATTATTTATATCAATGCTGTTTTGCTGACAAACCCCATACACAACACCATGTGGTCTACTATGAAGGAAATTAACTCTATCCCAGGAAAACAAAAAACAAAAAACAGTGTAAGCATAGAAAATAGGACTACTTCATTCCTACTTCTACAGACTTGAAGCTGGGAGGGAGCTTAAGGACAGAAGTCATGCAGAAAGTACAAGGACTATTGAAAGAGTGTTCTGGGACAGAGCAACGTTTTGTTCCTGGAAAATAAGACAAGGTTGTTTTTCTCTGCAGTTGGATCATCTAGGAGAGACAGTTCTGGAAAAATATTTGCCTGAGTGCATTTGTTGCAAGAGGCTGTCACTAACGGGAGGTACCAGTGAAATGGTTCTAGACTATGTAGAAGAGGAGTTCAGAGTACAGTCCTGAGGAAATTGTTTCAATAGCTATGTCCCCTTGATGTGTTACCTAACATGTGATTCTGATTTAATTTTTTGTTCTTCATGAGAGTGCATTAAAAAGAATTTGGAGCTGTTACGGTCTTTGAAATATTTTCAGTATTGTTGTAGAATGCTGATAGAGCCTGGTTTGTTCAGGTTCAGTAAACAAAAGCAGAGGTGTTTGATTTTTTTTGTTTCTTTGTTTTTAAACAAAAACAACAAAAAGCCCACAAACCTTTAGGGAAAACAGCAAGAGTAAACAGTGTTTTATTTGGGTAGAAAAAGAACTTATGGGCATGAACTGGTTGTGAATAAATTGAAGCCGGAATGTGAGAGGCAGTTATTTTTAGAAACTTGTTGATTTTTATGGGAGAAGTGTGAAATAACTGAAATCTTCTTGAAATGGGACATGGTTAGCTCGAGGAAGTGAGAATGTAACATGAAGAGCTCAGTTAAGTGTTTCTATCTATCAGTCCCACTTTCAAGCATGAAAATAGACTCTCACAAAATCCTAGTGAAAATCTTTCATGTCCCACTAATATTTTTCATGTTGATTCCCTCAGTCTCACACATCTCCAGCTGTTGGAAGATGCTGGCTCTGATGCACTTTTTCCAAGACAAAGCCAGTCTGATTGGTCTGAAATACTTAGCCTGAAGCTTAATCAATCTGAATTGAATCCATTCCTGGGTACCGTATTTCCTATGGTTCCTATGCCTCTCATTTGCTAGCAGTTCTCTCCTTCTGAGGATTTGATAGCATTCGTGATAAGTCAGCTTTTGAATGACACTAAACGTGTCAGTGGTCAGAAATGCTATGTCCACTGTGCTTGTGTTCTGTGTCTTTCAGAATTAGAAGACAGCTGAATCTTTTGTCTCCCACCGAGCTGGGTATCTGCTAGCACTAGTTTGAGGTCAGGGCACTAACCTATTTGGGGATTTTTTTATTTTTTGTTCCCACATTGTTTTGGAGGGATGGAAGGCATTATTTCGAATGGTTTGTGATCTCACATCAGTTGCTGATAATGGATGCTCCAAAGGCAGGGTGGGAAAGACACTGCTGGAATGGCAGCAGGTTCAAAAGATATGGACTTTTCCTTCATTGCAGCTTGGGTTCCCCAGTTTTTGCTGTACTTCCTTATATTACTGGATCACTTTGAATTTTGTATATGGAACATAGCCGCTGTAGTACCAACATTAGTAGGCTTGGTATAGTAGTTAGTGGCAGCATTAGTCACAGGCAGTATTGTGTTCAATCTGTGCACTGCCATTTTCTCTCTACAGAAGCTGCTGTCTGATGAGAGGTTTGTATCCGTGGAAACAGACTCGGATGAGAAACAGTTGCTTAATCAGATGCTGAATGCCGTCAAAGTGACTCCTTCGCTCAACGAAGATCTGCAGGTTGAAGTGATGAAGGTTAGTGTTTCCCACATGTCAGTTCTTGCAGCAGAGGCTGCGTAAGTGCTGGGATTAGCAAACAAATTAGATGTTGTCTTGGAAATCTTCACCATAAGGACAGTATTTGATTCCTTCCTTCCTGTTGGCAGATGTCAGTCGTTTTCATTTCTGCTTGGTTTGTGTTTTCCTGGGTAAACAGGAGATAGATTGAAAGAACTGTGACCGCTACTGTTAATACAATGTGAGACAGGACAAACAATTCACTCCATGGTAATTCACAGGTAAATGACTTGCAGATTTGGAAGTTTGTGTTTGGTGTTAGTGCTCGTGAGTTGGACTGTACAGTTTTGTAATTTTGTAACATGTGGATAGGTCCTTACTAGCTTGTGTCCCCTTTGTAAAGTGCTAATGGTGGAGCATGATGTGTCTAGTCATCAAAATGTTCCTGGATTAATTCATAAGAGAGGTTTTGTTCTGTATACTCAGTGAACATTTTCTACTCTAGAAATGCTTTAGCATTCTTCTGCTTGTGTGTTAGGAAGCCTGGATATCAGGAGCTATAGTTTTGGAAGGGAAGTGCTGTGAATTTTCCTTGCCCTGTTGTAGTTGGTGTATTATAACCTGCTAGTACTGCCATGAAAATAATGACTTCCAATACCGGCATAGTTCACTATGCGGTGGTGGCAGGTTGCCATGTGTTTGGATGTAAAATGTGTACTTTGAGGTTTTATGTGCAATTGCTGTTCTCTTATAGAAAAAAAAATACTCTTCTGGTGGTCTTCTTGTGTCTTCTCCATACCTAGTACTGATCTACGTGTTTGAATGTACTTATTTGACTGTTGTTTACTTCCAAGTGCATAGACTAAGTGTCTTTATTTTTTTTACCTATGTGTGACATCCTTATACTAAAGAATATATGTTACTTGCTTTGAAACTTCTTTGTACTAGCTGTACTCTGCCAAGAAGGCTGGTTGCTTGCCTGCAGCATGCACTCTGTGCCAGAAGATGCATGAGGTTGAGCCTAGCAAGAGAGAAAGAGGATCATAGAATCATAGAATGGCCTGGGTTGAAAAGGACCACAGTGATCATCTAGTTAACCCCCCTGCTATGTGCAGGGTTGCCAACCAGCAGACCAGGCTGCCCAGAGCCTCATCCAGCCTGGCCTTGAATGCCTCCAGGGATGGGGCATCCACAGCCTCCTTGGGAAATCTGTTCCAGTGTGTCACTGCATTTTATGGAAGCAGGATTTTGCCTATAAACAGGCTTAACTTGAGGCATTCAGATCTACAGCTCTAACCCAGCATGCTTCTTTCTTGCCTGTAGTGAGAAAGGTGAAGGGTTACCTGGCAGCACTTCTGAGCTGGCACCTTCTTACTTTTTGGGTTTTTTTGTTTGTTTGTTTTTATCCTCTTGAGTATTGCAGAATCAGGATCTTCGTGAATGTTGTTTCTTTGAAACAGTGGTGCAATAAGCAAAATAAATAAATGGAATATTTACATACTGTTTCTGAAACAAACAACTACCACCACCAAAAGCAATGCTCACCCCCCATTTTGTGCAAAAAAGTAAGGAAAACATTGTCTTCATTCTACTGAGTGAAATTTTAATGTATAAGTCCTTTCCTAAAGTTCTGTATAAATAAAAGGTAAAAATCAGATCTCATATATACATCCCAAGAACAATGCAAAACTTTGATTTTTGTTCATTGAGGAAGAGTAGTGGGTCAAAAGATTTAAACAGAGCATTTAATGCTCAAGAGACTTTGTATCTGAGACTTACCTAAAAGCCAATTCAAGCAGTAGATCCTTTTTATGTTGTACCCTGAAGGTTGCAGATGCAGTTGCTACTACCTTTGGGAGTTGAGGTCTGGGAAGGTGGCAAAGTCCTCAGGATTTCAAGCAGCTTGTCTCAAAGATGAATTTTAATCCCTAGATCTGCTAAATAGTGTCATAAGGTCAGCATACAAGCACACATTAGACTGGGTTACTCCATCCAGAGGTTCTCAAACACATTTTTATGCATTGCAGATATTAGATGCTCCTGAACGTGAGGTCTGTATGAAACTGGGTCAGCAGTGTTTCCAGCCTGGTTCTTTGTGGCTTGCTGCATGGTCACAGTAGCCTCACAGGTATTGACAGTGCAACCAAAAGCTTTTAGTCATGTAAAACAGAGTCTGCAATGGAAATACAGGAGTGTAAAATCTCACTTTAACTTGCTGGCACCTGAGCTCCTGAAACACTTTAAAGCTTATCTGGGAAGTCATATCCAAAATATCTTCCATCACTTCTGGCAAGTGTCCATCAGAAATTCACACTTTGCTGATTATCCATAGTAAATGCTTTGAATATTTATCTATATGATTCTTTGTCATTCATCTGTTTTGTGTATGTGTGTGAAGGGATTTGATGAGCTTGGGAGACAGTGTAAAGTTTTTACATTCAGGTATCTGCAAATTGGGATTGGTAGTAGAAGAAGGAACACAAGACATAGACATAAGTGCAGGTAGTTGCTTTGATACACTTTTTGGAACTATTAATTATTATTATTACTCAAAAATTATATATTGTTTTTATATAAGTAATCAAATATTATTTAAAAGGGACAGCGTTAGGCATAAATGGAATAGGAAAACTGTAGTGGTTGCTGTAAGCGAATGAAAAGGAATTCTTGCTGGATGTCTTTCAGCACTGAGGAAATTGAACAGCTGAGGCCACTGCTGTAGAAGTGGAACAGCACTCAGCAGTTTATGGCTAGGTACCAGGTCATCCTTATTTTTAAGAGTGAGTGTCATGGCATGCTCCACAGATTCCTATATTGGAGGATCACAGAAACAGCACAGTGGTAGTGTTGAGGGCAAGGCTGGAAACTGGCTGAATTACATCTTGGGTAGCCAGAGAAGATTAATACTGCTGAAATACAGCTGTCAAGTAATGCTCAGAGCCTTCAAAGACACTGTAACAGGTTGCCCAGAGAGGTTATGAATGCCCCCTGCCTGAAAGCATTCAAGGCCAGGATGGATGGTGCTTTGAGCAACCTGGTTTAGAGGGAGGTGTCCCTGCCTGTAGCAGGGGGTTGGAACTAGATGATCTTAAAGGTCCCTTCCAATCCAAACCATTCTGTGATTCATGTCTCATGATATCTCTTCTGTGATAGGTGAAGGTGATTTTGGCCTTTCTATAAACTGTTCAGAAGTGGAATCTTACTCTATGTAATAAGCAAATACTAAATTAAACTGCAGATTAGAGATTGCTGGCAATATCATTAGTTGTTCTGGATATAAGCCACGGATTGCATCTCTCCCTTAGGTGTTTCATTCAGAGCAATTATGTGGGAGAAAATTCGGAGTAGTTACTCTGAAGTTCTTGCTCATCCTTTTGCAGAACACTGTTAATATATTAGTAAGTACCGGGCAATTTCTATGTGAACAGAAGTAGTGTGCCCAAAAGAAGTCTGGTCTTCTGGTCTTTTCTGTGAGGAAAGGGAAAAGGCTAAAACTTCCTGGCGTGAATGTGCACTAGGTACAAACAGAGGCATACTGGCTACATTAGATTTCCCATATACTAATGAAAGGTGTCAATGGTGTATGAGACTTGCATGCTGTTTACGTGCCAAGCATTGTATGTCTTTAGAGTATCTCAGTGACTATGCTGTATGCGTATTCTCTGTACCTCTAACATACTTTGACAGCGATTTATTCTCACACTGAGAATTAAATTAAGCTTATTTATGTGTTTTAAATCATGTTTGAAGATGCTAAGAAACCAAGTAATCAGAAAAGCGTGATCAGCAGAAACAATGGACCTGATGCAAGGCCACTTTAACATTTACCTTGTTGCCATGATACTTCATTATCGTTCTGAAAAACCTCATGTATGCTGAACCTGTTTGTGGTTTTCCTATGCTCAGCTGACTGTGTCAAGGGAAAGGAAAATCACACAGTTATACAGTACCTTGTTGATCTTCCTGTAATCTGCCAGTAAGTTGATTGCAGTTAAAAATGGAATAATATGAGTATTTTTACTTGCATATTTACATTATAGTATTTGTGTAAGCTGGGAGGGAGAGCTCTGTTATCACTAATCAAATGTTATCAGTTTTATTAGTGATGCATCGAAGTGACTCAGTGATCTTTGATATGTTTGCAGATTTATAAGGCAAAACTGGGGGGTGGAAGGGGAGTAACACCCTTCACAACAGACCAGTGGTATGGCTGGCTCAGTTATAGGAATAATTTGGTTTCGTGACATAGGGCTGCATTATAACTGAGTGAAAAGCAACGCTGTATCTTGTGTTGAAGAATAGGAATATTTTGCTGGCCTTAGCACTAGATGAGCAAGCAAGTAATTTACAGCAGAAAGAATTCCTGGAGAAACTCTTGTCTGAATATAAATATGGGTTTGGGTATGGTTGTGGGGTATGGAGGATCTTGGTTTCTTTTTTGATTTTAAAGCTGCTTTTAAATTCTGGCTTCAGGTGCTTTAAACTGGCTGAAGTACTTCTGCTTTGTTTAATTAGACCTTTGTTTGCCAGAGCGCATACAATATTGACAAAAGTGCTACTGGATATGGCCAGACCAGCAGAAGAAAGTGAAACTAATATGTAGCTGAGCATTTTCTTTTTTCTTTGATTTTTTTTTTTTCTTTTTTTTTTTTTTGGTAATTCTTCAGCTAGAGGAGCTAGAATTTAGCTTTGAACACAACTCTGGTGCCAAAGCAGGGGAAATGTAGCATGAAGGAAGAGGCTAGGCTGGAAAGAATCTGAAGCCATGATGATTTTTCCCCCTTTTTACTGAAGTTACAGCGACTTCCACTTACAATTTGACAGCTGCCTTAACAATGCAGTGCCTTTTTCTGTGCATTTATCTGTCTGTGATAGTATTTTTCTAAAATAATAAGAAGATATTAAAAAAAAAAAAAAGCAGCTCAATGAGCAATTGCAAGATAGTAGGTGAGTCCTCACTCAGAAGTAAGCTCTCCAGATAAGGTGCATAAACCACAAAACAACGGGCATTGGCAGGA